AAAAAAAAAAAAAAAAAAAAAAAAAAAGTCTGACAGGACTCATTCGAAAATTGATACTTCTTCGAACGAGTCGGAAATTTGGAAAATATATCGAATAAATCTGACAAGAATCGTGAATCTCGAGAAAAGAGGTAAAGAAGAAATGAAGACTGGCAATAACATAGATGTAAGTAGATTCTTTCGAGTTTATATCTTCCTGCATTGGGAGATATGGATTGATCGTAAACTATCGTGTCAATCCGATGATACGATTCGCGTCGTGATGAAATTTTTTTATGTCCCTGGGATTCTTCAATAGGAACATATTCGGTTTTTTCGCTGGACTAATTTTACGATCTCGCTGTACCTCTCGATTTATGTCTGTAAGTTGAGATAGATTGAAATTTGAGATGAGGATGAATTAAGAGATGCAAATTGGAAGAGATTTGATAGAGAATAAAATGAGAATTTATACAGAGAAGTCGATAATTTATAAATCGAAAAATATATATATATATTTTTATTTAAAGCAATCTCATTTTTAAGTGAATTAAATTTGAGAATTTTTCAAATATAAGTGAAATTAGCTAGATTGGATAAGAATGAATTATTGATAAGAATTTATTTTAAATATGAAAGGAAACAAAAAAAGTAGAATAAAATTTTGTTTATTCTCTTGTTTTCGAGAAAATCGAGATTAAATATTCGCGATCAAGAAATCGTATAATTGGCGAATTTCCAAATTCGATTTTCTTGAAAACTAATTTTTAAATGAAAAAAAATTATTCTATATTTTTTGCTCATTTTCGTGTGTAAAATTATCTTCGATCGATAGATCATTCGTATCTAATAAATATTAGCCGATTTCCCCTGCAATTAAATATTTTTTAAACTTCATTTACCTCAAAACGAAATCTTAAAAAAGTATTATTCTTATTTTTCGATTTATTTTTGCATATAACATCGTCCATGATTTCGAAGGTATGCCGTGTATACTACCAATCAAAATTTTAGAATCACTTTACATCTTCATCGAATCTTCCGCTAATTTTGATATTGATTAAAACTTGGAGCTATAGATACTAATAGCAATTTTACTCATATACATTACTTACTTAATTTGTAGAGTTTTCTCTCGAAAGAAAGATTATTACGAAATTTCACTTACGAAATTTTATTACAAAATTTTAATTTTTTGGTTACGCTCGGAGTATTGGAACACGTAGACGAAAATTTTTGGCCATTGATACACGTGCCTGACGAAAATCAAGTTTACCTCGGTCATGAAACGTGAGAAAAGAAGAAAAAAGAAGAGCGCGCCCCTATCGGGCAGGCAATCAACCTACATCTAGCAAGTTACTACCGGCAGAGGCAGGAGCAGAAGCGGACAAGTGGCCGACCCATAGCTAGCGACCTACTAGGAGACAAGCAGCGTTAGTTACGTATCGAATTCTCGGTTCGATATCCAATAGTCGATTGCCTATCGTTCATTTCCTACGGGCACGAGTTATTGCTTTTCTATAGAGGTCCTGTCAGCTGCCAGCCAGTTGGTCGGCCAGTCGACCGTTCTCGTTCTGTCGTCATTCCATAATCGGATACGAAATGATGTTCCAAAAATGTTTCGCGAATTCTTGGCCGAGCAACGTGGCCAGACTCCTATTCGACGATCATGCCCTCCCCACTCCTCGTTTCCCTCGATCGTGTTCATCCTTTGCTAGCGTGTCGTCCTTCTTGATACTTGGTACTCTGAGCGGATTTCGTGCTTCTTCGAACGATCTAATTTCAAGGCGAAGCTTCGTTACGCGTGTCCTCCATTAATTCAGAGTTTAATCGCCTTATATCTTGAGAGCAACCGCTTCATGCCGCTTACACGATAATGTAATTGCGTATCGATTACGACGTCCCGCGTATCCCCTAAGCATTTACCTCGCATGTGTTATCCTTCTTCTCTCGTTGCCCTTTTTTTGTAAGCCATATTCGTTTCGAGGAAGCACATCATTTTAATCGACTATTTAATGGTAAAGAGGGTATGTATGAAGCCGCTTAAAAATATCAAGACCACTTGTTATTCTCTGCGAACTTTTCAATATTTTATATATTCAATTATAAATTTAACACATTCGTTACTATTATTGAAATATTTTAAAATTGTTAATTTTGCAATATGGAAAAGTAGAAAAATGAATAAATATAGTTGATCATTCTTTTTAATATGCATAATTCTCTTCATTGAATATAACAAAATTTCACGAAAATTAATAATTAATATTCATGAAAGACATATTATATATTAAATTTCACAAAAATTCTATATATATGATTTATGAATCTACGATAAAAATTTATAATAATAAAATATTAAGTAATGTGGTTAAATAAAATTATATTTTAATAATTTCATATTATTGTTCTATGATTATCACGACTTTAAGTATTTCATTATTTTTATGATACTTTTTTTTTTAAAAATATCGGATAAAAATATTCGTATATGGATTATATAAATCTCTGAACATATCGTGACAAATTACATTTATTTATTTTAATCAATATATTTTTCTCTCTAGAAAAAAAAAGTTGAAATATGTTATCAAAAAAAATATTATCAATTTTGAAACGCAAAATGCAAAAAATTATACAAAAAAGCAATGATATAAAGTTTATAAAATTTAGTTTCATTTCTGTTTGAAATGTTTTAGTATTTTTTCATATTAAATTGTAATATATAATTTTGTAAAATTTCTAATAAAAATATTTAATTGTTGAATAGCACTATTTCATTACTATTTCATACTATTAATTAATTATTATTATTAATTATTATATTTAAAATTTTTTAATTGATAATATTTTTATTTTAATCGATTTAAAAAATTTATTGATATTGCAACTTATTAATCACAAGTGATATTTAATATATTAATCATTATTTGTTTTAAAGATTTACATGTTGGTGATTGTTTTCTATATAATATTATATGAAAGAAAAAATAATAATAAAAATATATAAAAAATAATATAATAATAGAAATAATTCTTATCTTATATATTTAAGCAAATCATATTGAAAAATTCTTTCCTTTAAAACGTGTAAAAATAATTATTGATTTCTTTTCTTGCTTTTATCTTTTTGCTTTTCTTTCTTTTTTTTTATTTATAATATTTATATATTTTTATTATGTTTTCCTTTGATATTTTCATTTTGTCAGAAATTTTTTAAAATCAAGCATCAAAATACTTTTTATCATAATGAATTATAACATAAAAATATATTCATTAAGCTTAATAATAATTGGAATAGTAAACGATGATTATAGATTTTAATATAATTCTAAATTTTACCTGATTTTAAATGAAAGAAAAGCTGGATATTTCATTATTTTCAAGAGATTGTTTTTCATTCGTAGTTAAATAATTTTTCGAATAAAAAGCCTTTCATTTTACGATCGTGCTTCCATTCTTAGTCTTCTACCACTTCAAACTTCTAGTGCTGTTCAGAGTTCTTTTTGTTTTTTATTTTTTTTTTTTTGTTTTTTTTTTTTGTTAGCATGGAAAATGTTTAGGATTTCAGTTTTATCTTACTTTTCCTTGTACGGTAAAGTTATATACAAGATAATTTTATTACCAACAATAACAATTGATCGTCTCAGAATTATCGAGATTGTTAAAGTTTTATACATCCAAGTTATCAAAGTTTTTACGTGATACACGTTCGCAATTACAATCGAGTTGTAGAAATGGTACGTTTTCAAGGAATCATCCTGCAATCTAGGAGAAACCGTAGCAAAAGTACAATTTAAAAGTGTTCTCAGAAGTTGAATTATTTTTCTCAAGTTTCATTTTCACAGTAAAAACCTTTTAACAATTTCTTACTTTTAACATGGAGACAAGATGCTCCATAATATTTCGATTAAAGTAGACAGAAAATCGAGGAAAATGGAAAAAGTTCTGATATCTCATCGTTCTAATATTTAATCGTGTAATTAACGTAATTAATCTTCAAAACAATTACGAATACATATAGCATATAAAATATTATATATATTGAAAATTAATTGAAACAATCTATACATCCAATATGAATATACAATATATAATAATATACATCATATTTAAAATTACATATATTAATATTTATCAAATAAATATAATTTTTTGTTATATATAATACAATACATATTTTCTGTTCTCAATACATTTCAAAAAGCATCTATGAAATTTTTTTGAAAAGATAATACGCAGATAATTCTGAACGTGAATATTAATAACTATTATATCGAATCTGATATTGCCAGCGCGTGATATATAGTACGGGATCAGTTTTACTTAATAATGCAGCTATAGCCGTTATAGTATCTACTTAATACCAAAGTTCTATCCATAATCTTTCCTATATTCGTCACCAGAGGGATTCAAAACACAATTCTCGCAAGCAATAACCTGACTATCCTTCCCCGCAGATGCATTCTCACACTTGACCTATATTACAATGAATAAGATATGAGCACATTATACGATGAGTTTACTATACTGGTCATCAGCGAAAAATACTTTCTCTCTCTTCTTTTTCTTTTCTCTGTCTCTCATATTCCAAAGTTGTCACACAATATACATAAATTCGGGTTAACCTCAACGTAATCATCTCGAACATTTCATCTATTCTAATTCGATAGACTGGTCAAACGTGCCACATGAAGAGAGGATTCGATTGAAATGCATGAAAGTTATCCGCAACATCAATTCAAGAGTATCCTAAACGGCTATGCGTGGGTTGGGTACAGATACGAGAAAAAGAGAGAGAGAGAGAGAGAGAGAATTTCCAGTAGCAATAACCGATTGAACGTAGCAAATCGAAAGTCATTGGCAAAGTTCGCGAGATAGAGCGGACTGTAACGAGAGAACGTGACTTCACCGTGATGCAACATTCACGCCATCTAATGAGATTGTTTCCTAGCTTCAGTTTCGAAAAACGCAGCCAATTTACTCATCAAGTGAAAAACAAGGTCATAGCTCATAACAGACGCGAGATGATGTCGCATCGTTACATACCTCGGCATCGACATCGACTCGACGATATTACGACGCCACGATGCCCGCGATGCTACAATGCCACGACGTCATGACGCCGTTTAAAGGTTATGTTATAATTGAATCAGAGAACGCGACCCATACACGTTAGAATTGGCGTAGCCAGGTCAACCTGTCTAACCTATTTAGTGTTTAGGAAAAGTTATCGGGAGTTGTTACGTTGAAAGCACATAGACCTTTGCCTTTGGTAACGCATTTGGAAATGGCTGAATTGACTCTTTGAACGTTGTGGTTCATTAATGAAAGTGCACTATTCCAGTGAAACGAATTTTTCACCGTTATTATTATAATGAATGTTAGAATGAAAGTGAATCTGAGAAAGAACAACTTCAAAGATTGTTATTAAGTTGAGAGATAGTAAATATTTTTTGATAAACGACTCTTGTCTGATGTTTTAAACAATATTGATATTCGAATCATAATTAAAAATTTGAAAATATTAGGAAAATATCTGTTTCTTATTAACCTAAGAATTATAAAAAAATTGTAATGATTGAGTTTTTATAAATTAATAATTTTAAATAAATTTATTATTTTATATGTATAACATAAAAAAATGAATGATTGTTTTTAAAAGATCGCAAAGTTATTATATAAAGTATCTCATACATATTATATATTTTTGATATACATTACATATATATACATATAATGATTTAATTCTGTATTAAGAACGAACTTCAAAACAATATGCACCATTTCAAAAAATGATAACGAAACATTCTGAAAAAGATGTATGCTTTTTAACAAAAAAATATTCAAAAATGAAGAAATTTGACGTATGTCGATATACTTTATATGGACAAATATACAAGATATCCTAAAAATGAAAACATTTGTTTCAACTGAAAATTCCTGAAATGATTTCAAGTAATATTTTTATTTTCAAAAACTTTCGTTACGATTTTGTTAATTAATTATTAACAAAAAGCATTAGTCATAATGAAGCGCGCAGCCTCGAGTTACGATGATAGTGTTAGCTACGTGCCGTACAATTGAGCACGAACAAATTCAAGCAACATATATAAAAAAAAAAACTATGTTGAATATAACAAATTTTTTTATCGATAAAAAATTATATCAAATTATAAATAATTATATAACAATAGTTAAACTATAATATTCAACTTTCTTCGATATATTTATATTTCTTGGATTTGTTCGTGTTCGATCGACGGCACATAATTAACATTATTGTCGCAGCTCGATTAAGCTACACGTTGATTGGCCAGTATTTTTTGTTAATAACTCGTTAACAAAATCCTAACGAAAGTTTTTACAAAAAGAAATCACTCTAGGAATCTTTAGTTAACAGATGTTTCTATATTTTTTTGACACCCTGTATATATCCAATTTCTGATTCTAAACAAATCTTCATTCAATTTATTCAATTAACTTATGCAATATCCTCCAAAAGTTTAATATAATTTATAAATCTCTAAATCCGTCACTTCGTTGTAATGTTTTATCGATGTGATATACGAGTGAAATAAATAATTGACTTAATTCAATTATTAATCATGATCGATTCCACGAGGTAAGACACTGATCTTATCTTGAAATTCGAATTTTACGAATTTATTCCTCGTTCGATTGATATTTTATTCCTTAAAAGACTTGTATAAGACGTTCGATTAAATATGTAAACTTTGCGTACGTGTGTACACATGCCACACGTGTTTCGATACACGCGTAGCACAGCCTGTGTAAGCATTGATGAAACGTTGAGGTGTCAGCTGATCGTGTTTCTTCTTGCTCCCTGTTCTCGAATTGATATCTATTTGGAAGGCAAACGCGAAGGGTAAACGCGAAGAGCAGACATCAAATGTCGAATTTGTAACATGATTATGCGTCACTTATCTTGGCGAAACACATGTTTCACGCTTAATAAAAAAAGATGTTTAATATTAAATATACGGTGTGAGGCGTCTGAATATCTCGGCTGTTATTGATGATAGAAAAAAATTGTGTCGGAGCAAACTTGTATTGTGTTGTGTCGATTGTTGATTGATGAGTAA